CAGGCACGCTAAGCTATATCAGCTGATACAATTGCAGTTTGTTGTATTATTCATTGCTTAATTCATTTTGTCAGTGACCATTGGACGGTGTCAAGACAAACATTAAGCAAAAGTTCTAACTCCATGGTGATGGCTGTTAAAGTTGAAAACATCAGTTTTTAAAACTCTTACCGTTCGTTTAGCCCAATAACTTATTTGTAGAGTAGCATGGAAATTAAAAGTAATATATACAATTTGCACTGTGTACAATGTACAATGCACATGAAAACTGGAAGACAAATATTCAGTATTCTAATTTTAATAGGCAAAAAATAATCTTACTAAATAGGGGATAAATACCCTGGCGGGGGGGTGAGCCACAAATATTGAGGATGGGGTTACTCGTTGAACCTTTTAGGGCTTAGAAAAGAGGTTTTGGTACCTCTTGGAGTGTTCAGCCTAAGGAGGTCAGCAGTGGGAGCTTTCATGGTATTGAGCCGAAAAAAATATGACAGGAGAAATGTGTTGTTTTAGAATTGGTTCCCCTTAGGGGTGAAAAACATTTCAAGTCATACCCACAAAACAGGATCTTAATACCTTTTACGACAGGTTTTTTTTTTTTCAAAAATAATTCAGACAAGCACCCCCCATCCTTTTTATAAGGGAGTCCCCCCGGGGATAAATACTGGTATGGCCATTATCATTTTAAACACCTGCAGGCAGAATATACAATCATCTGGGACCGTATTGTGACAATTTGTTGAATAACAGAGCAGTTTTCAATTGATTGCCACAATCTCAAAACCAAAGCAATCACTCTGGCCACTCACAAAGATCACCTACAATTCCAGTGAACCAATCAAACTTGACGCAAATAGGTTTAGATGGCGTGAAGCATACTGAGCAAGTCACGATCAGTTTTGCTTTATTTTTGATTGGATGACAAATTGGACTGTAATGAAAAACCAAAGAAATGCAACAGACTTTTGACTCCAAACTAGAAGTGCATTGAACAACTTTTTAAATAGCTTTCTAAATTTTGCAGAATAAAATTTGGAAACTTTTTTCAATTATTATTTGTAAGCCTAAGGTATTCCACCAATTCTTTTACAACACTGTGTGGGTGGTAAATCCCAGTTGTAAATGAATGAATTTCGTAGATGAGTTTCTTGAAGACAAAGCTTTCCATTCTCCTTGAGCTGAGTGTGTTTTTGATACATGTCAGCAGTTGACTGTTTGTGACTCACTATGTGAAGGTTATTACATCCCCGTGAGCGGTATTCAGTGTCAAACCTGTAGTCATGAATGCGATTCACTTGAAGAGGAGCCAGCCATGTTCCTAAAATCAAGTTCAATGATTTAATGTTCTTGCACAACATAAAAAAGATAATTTAAAAAAATATCATTGTTATCAAGTCACATGGTGAATGTACCTTGTTACATAATGTAAAGGTAAAGTCTGCATACATCTCAAGCAACCCATCAGGCTGGAGCTTATTTCTGGTTTCTGTAGCATGAAGTGACTAGGAGAATTTCTACTCTCCCTGGATGGGAGGCTAGTTCATTGCATGGTTACCCCCAGCATTAAATTTGCCAGCACCCATTTATACACCTGGGTGAAGAGAGGCCCTGTAAGGGTTAAGTGTTTTGCCCAAGAACACAACAAAATTTCCTCAGCCAGGGCTTGAACACAACACAGTGAACCCAGAATGCCCAATCCAGAGGCAAGCACACTAACCATGAGGCCACTGTGCCTCTAACTGACCCGTGTTTTTTTGGTACAATGTGTGTTAACCACTTACCTACAGAAACATCTTCACTGTTGAATTTTTGCAAGAGATCAGCATTTCTTGCGATAAAATTTACCAAATCACTGGACAGTGTATAGCCACCACCTTGAGCATACGGCAAGTACCTATCACAGAGATGCCAGCTCTTTTCAGACCATGGTCCAGCGAATTTGACATGTGCATCCCCACGAAAGAAACCCCAATATAATCTCCTTGTGGAATAAGTGCTTTTGAGTTCAGAGATGATAAGATCAAGCCGAACAAAGCTGTCATCGTCCACTTTCAGAATGTATGAAGAATTCACATTTTGATCAATCCACTTGAATGTTTGCAATACTTTACTAGGAAGCTCTTTATAGGCATCTTTGAGTTCTGGAAGAAACAGAATATCATGATAGAGGTTGTTTTCATCTTCCAAGTTTTTCATGTGTTCCGGAGTTAATTCCTTCACGCCAATTATAAACTTTGCAACTACTGGAGGATCAAGAGTTTCTACGTTAGACAGCCACGTTTCTCGTATGGCATTTCTTCTATCTTTGCCGTTTGGTGAAGTTAAAATCACAATGAAGAGAAAAGTCTCCATTTCTAGCGATATTGACTGCTCATTTCTTTTGATGTCAAATCGACGAAATGATTCCTCTTTGACATCACAGCCGACTTTCTGGTACATAAAGAATATAAACAAAAACGCAACTATTACAACAAGCAGCAGAAAACTCTCATTTCTTCGAAAAATTTGTCTTTTTACCAGTCGGCGACACGCAGATAAATCCGCCATACTTGAGCCCACGGTCAATTCATTATTGAAGTTACTTTGTAGGACAGTTAAAGTAAGTTATTTGAAGTACTACATAGCTGCCGAAGTTTTTCTCGGAGAGTTTCGTGATGAATCGCAACTTTTACGAAGTATTTCGATTCCGACTTGAAAGAAACAATCTAATGGGGCCAAGCATTTCGCTCTAGCAAGGTAGCAGATCAAAGTTTCTTGCGAAAAGTTTCATGTCCTCCTTGTTTATTGTCATTTAGGAGCTAGCAGCTACTCTCAGCAGTCAAGATGTCGCAGTTGCCTCCTCCAAACTTTGGAAACTTTCCGCCAGCTTTCAACACGAATGGATTTCCAGGATGGCCGATGGTTGGGGCGACAGCTCCATCGATCTTTGGAAGGCCACAAATTCCTTCACCAGGTTTTCCACCTAGATTACCCATGAACTCTTTTACTGGCTATCCAGGTTCTCAGTTTAGG